TAACTTCCGCTATAGATTTAGTACCTGCAACATGCTTCTGGGTATGTCAGTTCTGCCTCTGATACCTCAGTTATTCAATATATAAAATGGGCACAATACACTCTATCTCAAATGTCTGCTAAAAGATGAGAAATGGCAGTGCAGCACATGGAAAAAAATTACTAAGTAAGGAAATCTGAGTTCTGATACTGACTCCCCCGCTCGTGAGCAACACTACTTTGGAAAAACAGTTTCACCTCACTACTCCTCAGTAACTATCTCAAAAAAGATAAGAGGTCTCAACAGACCACTGCTGAGGTTACACTCTGCTCTCACGTTCCATGACTTTATTTGAAATATATCCTGAGAGTAATAACACAGCATTGATTCTCAGATGCACCTTTGCCTCCACTTTTAACATCTCTGAAATTGGGCTGCTTTTGTATAATGCACAGCATGTCACAGTTTAACAGGCAGTGTTTTTGTTTTGTTTTTTTTTCTTTCTGAGTGGTACACAAAATAGTATCTTAAAACCAATGGCACCTTGGGTTTGTTGAACATGGTAAGTTCCAGTTGCCTAGTTTCTCTTTCCCTATTGGTCACCAAGTTCAGGGAACTCTGTAGAAAGACATGGCTGGAATCTGGCCAGGGACATTCCGAGAAACACTTGGGGGAAAAAAAAACTTCTAGACTCAGCTTTTTGCATCCAGTTGATGCTTCTGTGTGTATGTCCCAGTCCAGCTGCGAGCTCCTTGAGGGCAGGGGTTCAATCTGATTCATCTCTAGTTCCCCAGGGTCCTGCACATTTGCCAGATTTCAGTCCATGCAATTAATCAATGTCTGTCGTGGAAGCAATAAAACTGCCCCCACAGGAGGCCAGCAATGGCCACGGCCACTAGCTTGGGCAACCAGGCTGAGATTCAGCGGTCAAGGTGCTGACTACGCCACAAATCCCTGCGCCCTCCTCAATGGGTTTTGGACACTGAGATTACCACTCACCAGCACATCCCTGAAGAGTAACTGAGGCCCGGAGTGCACTGTCCAGTCCACCGCGCCACTATTTGGAATCTTGATACGAATCACCAGCACCTGGTTCTCCATGGCATGGAAGGGGCCAAAGGCCAGCCACAGCATTACAGGTTACAGGGGCTCACATCCTGGGGCAGGAGGTACCCACTGGATCCTGGTTAGGCGAGGGCTCCAAAGGGTGACAAGGGGACGGAGGGGAACAGGACAGGGGGTCGGGGGAGTGAAGAAGAGGGATGGTCTGGAAGGGACCCGCAGGCAGCAAGCCAGGCCCAGCCTGTATGGGGTTGGGGCTGCCTCTCTGTGAGCGTGGACGGGGCACGAGGCAGGGGCCAATATAAACTAACGGGGGTCAGAGGGTTCTGGAGTTGGGAAAGAGGGCGAACCGGATCGTGAAGCCCCCTGCCGTCTGTGTGGGTGTGAGGAGATGACCCCGTTTTAGGGAGACAGAGCGGCAGGTGTCCACTCTTCCTTAGTGGAGAGGGGAGGGTCCCCGACTGGAGGGGACTCAGTCGGGGGCTGTTTGGAAGGAGACCCGGGGCCGCCAAACCAAGCGAGAGTCGAGGAGGGCCCTCCGTCGGGAAGCGAATCCTGTTCCCCACCCCGAGTCAGAGGGCGCGGTGCGCGCGGGCCCGGCCCCAGCCGCCCCGGGCCGAACGTTCCGGCTGCGGCGGCAGCGGCAGGAAGAAGGAAGGTGACGGGGCGCGTGCTCCAGGTTAAAACGCGACACCGGAACCCCGGGAGCCGGAGAGAGGGACCCGCCTCCCGCGGCGCCATGTTGGATGTGGCTTCAGCCAACCCCGCCACGCTGCCCGGCAGTGGGACCATTGAGGAAGCATGAGCGCGAGGGGCAGGCGGGGACAGTGAGAACCAGGCTAGGCTGGCTGTCAGGGAGTCTCAAGTCGACCAGTGGTCGCCACCCAGCGACCAGTGACCTCCTTTCTTTTCCACTCGCGACCCTCGTTAAAGGCAGCCGGGTGAAACCATCTAGCAAACGAAGGAGGAAACTAAACTGGGCTTTTGGCGGACTCCAGCCCAACTGTCGTCTTAAAATTGCGTACTGTTGCAGAGTGAAAGACAAGCTTCCTCCTTTATACCTACTTTGTCAAGCCCTTTACCTTGACGGCGTTTGTGCACCAAATCAAGAGTAAGGCAAGAACTCAACACTGTTTTCCCCTTCTTCCACTCCACAGATACAGAATTATCATAGTCTTCCTCCCACTTGAGCAAACAGTGTATGATTTTTTTGTTGTTCTTTAACCCCACGATTGCCCTGAAATAGCAAACAGCCCCCTCATTTAAAAGCAACAGTAAAAAAAAAAAAAAAAAAAAAAAAACTCAGGGAAGAGTTTAACTGCCAGGGGACAGCTGGAGTACTGGCATCCTGTTCTCTTATTAAATCATTGCAGAAAATATCTGGTCTAGTCCGTAAAATTTCAACCAGATAGCAATGTTTACACAATCGGTGATATCACAGGCAGTAGCAATAACCCTCGGTTGTTTTAAATGCCTTGTTAACCTCAGATTTTAAAATGCATAATTGTGTTGATCTATGGTTTCTATATAAAAGTTTGTTTACAAATCGCATTGTGTAGGTTGGGCCATAATCTCCTGCTAATGAACGTGCTCATGTCGCTTTACTTTTGAGTGCTGAATTTTATATAAATTCGGTGGGAGAGGAGTGATCATTTCCCCCCCCCCAACACTCAGAATTTATTCATGCAAGAGAAAAAATAATTTAAATGTTGGTTAGTTTAAGTAGAACACCAAAAATTTTTGTGCATATATTTCTCTGCCTGAGTTTCTTTTATATTTAATTCAAAAGTCCACATAGGAGATAAATTGTCTCTTTTTTAGTTACTGTAAATTAATAGCTTAGATAGAAATTCATTTAATCAGATGCTCCAGATATTCTGAAATTGCTCTTTTCCACCCGTACCTCAGTCCTGTGAGAAATAAACAGTTTGCCCAAGGTACCCATGTACTTTTTTATTGAAAGTTCATTTCCTATTATTTGAGAATATAGACCACAAAACTGGAGATTTTCTATGAACCTATTATTTGTTAAAACAGCTTTTTAATTCATAGTACTATGGGGAAAACCAACCCAATTTGTACTTTCAATTCTTCTGGATGGAGATATACCCCAAAGTGGAATTGCTGGGTCATACAGTAATCCTAGTTTTAGAATTCTATTGCTGGACCATTCTTTTTTTTTTTTTTTTCTTTTAAGTTTATTTATTTTGAGAGAGACAGCGAAAGAGCACAAGCAAGGGAAAGGCAGAGAGAGAGCAAGGCAGAGGATCTGAAGTGGGCTCTGTGCTGACAGCAGAGAGCCTGATGCGAAGCTTGAGCTCATGAACCCAACAGTGAGATCATAAGATCACGACCTGAGCGGAAACCAAGAGTCGGATGCTTAACCAACTGAGCCACACAGGCGCCCCTAATGCTGGACCGCGGTAAGTGCTTGTGGACACCATGCCTGGAAAAGCACATTCTGCTGGTCTTGACTTAAACGTTACCTTCTAATTGTAGCCTTCCTTTAGCACACACTATGGCAATTACAAACCAGCCCCCAAAACACTCCATTCATAGATACAAGCCAGTTTATTTTTCTCCTAGCACGTATCTAACATGTCACAGGTTTTACTCATTTGCCTGTCTCCCCAATAAACTATAACTTAATGAGGGGAGGGAACTATATGTGTTTTTTTTATTCACTGCCATGCCCCTAGTACCTAAAATAGTACCTGGCACATAGCAGGCACTTGAATAATAGCTGTTGAGTGAATGAATGGATTCTGAAGGCAGAGTGGACTGAAGAAATAAGAATGCAACTGCCCTGTGCACCTCCTGCCTGTCTTGAGCCTCACTTGCTCCTTTGCTTTTCCACCATCAAGACTGCGACAACAATCATTATAGACTCCCAAAGAACTACAGATTTTATAGCAAATATTGATTGCCTCCTGTGTTCAAGAATTCCACTTACCTCCTTCAGGGCCTACTGTGGGCCCTTATGTATAAAGCTCAAATATTTGTTGATTAATTTTGATTTAAAAGAACACGATGAAAATAGAGGATGAAAACAGTAACTTTACGGTGGAGAAACCTAGCAGACACCATCCTAACCAAGCGGTCAAGGTTAACATCCCCAGTAATAAGTCATGTTGGGATCATGTGCTGTCTAATATGATGCAGTAAGAAAGGCGCTCTTCTCCCTCAAACTCATGACCCCAATCTAATCATAAGAAAAACATCGGACAAACCGAAATTGAGGGACAGTCTACATAATACCTGACAAGTACTCCTTAAAACTGTCAAGGTCATAAAAAACAAACTGTTCACAGACCTGAGAAGACTAAGAAGACATGATGACCGAATGCAGTCTGAGACCCTCAATGGAATCCTGCAACAAGAAAAGAACAGTAATGAAAAGCTGGTGAAATCTGCACAGAATCTGCAGTTCAGTTGGCAATAATGAACCAGTGTTGATATCTTTTGGCAACTAAGTTACATGAGGTGCTAATATCAGAGAAATCGGGATGAGGGTTTATAAGGAACTCTGTACTACCTTTGCAATTTTTCTGTAAATCTAAACACACCAGCAATCGTGTCTTGGGAATATTACTTGCAAGAGGATATAATTATATAATTTACAGTAGCAACAACAACTAAACCATGAACATTTTCTTCATGTTGCCTAATATCCTTTAGTTTGTAAAAAAAAAAAGAACATGAAGAGGCATGAACAAAAACGAGCACAGATAAAACCCTAAAAGCGTGACAGGGAAGTTTATTCTCTCCTGTTTTGGCAGGAAGGAAAAAAAGAACAGTGAGACAAGTCCAGCACTCGCCCAGAAGCAGAAACAACAGTTAACAGTCACAGAGCACCTAGTATGTGCCAGATGCTACGGATTTTAGATGCTCTAAAATGAATTAATTCATTAATTTAATGATCTCACAGTTTGTGAGGCTCTGAGCTGACGGTGTGGAGCCTGCTTGGGATTCTGTCCCTCCTTCCCTCTGCCCCTCCCCCACTTGTGTGCGTGCCTGTGCGCACGCTCTCTCTCTCTCAAAATAAATAAATATTTAAAAAATTTTCAAATGTTGGGGTGCCTGAATGGCTCAGTCAGTTAAGCATCTAACTTTGTCTCAGGTCATGATCTCGCAGTTTGTGAGTCCGAACCCCGCATGGGGAGCTGTGCTGACAGCTCAGACCCTGGAGCTTGCTTCAGATTCTGTCTCCTTCTTTGCCCTCCCCCTGCTTGTGTGCTCTCAATCTCTCTCTCAAAAACAAATAAACATTAAAAAAAATTTTTTTAATGTCATTAGATTGAATTTCTGCGCAATATATTTTCTTTTAGATAAAGTAGGCTGCTGTCCCTACAAATCACTTAAGCTTTATTACTTCCTTCTTTTCATTGTTTAAACATATCTGTATTATTTTGTTTGTATTAACAAAATATATCTCACATTTTTGTGGCACTTTATAGCTTGCAAATACTTCCACATCCATAATGTGACAAAATTGTCTATGCATTGTAGGTTATGACCACGGACTCCATAGACAGATTGCAAGGACTGGAGGAACACTCACTATGTGTGACCTTGGGTAAGACTTTGTGATTTCTACAGCTAAAAAATAGGCATAAGAACAGTGCCAAACTCACTGGGCTGTTAAGAGAGGATTAAGTGAGTTAGTATGTATAGAGTGCTTAGTCTAGGACTTGGCACAAATAAATACTATGTAAGTATTAGTTAAACTCCTCCTTCTGTACATGAAGACACTAAGATTTAGAAAGCTGTAATTTTTCTCAGTCATTTAACTGGTATTGGTACAAGAACTTAAACCATATATTTTATCTTTAAAACAAGGTTCTTTGTATTACACATATAGTAGAACAGCAATAAAAAACAAACTAAATAGCATGATTTGGAATCAGAAATAGGCATGCATGCAAGAATGATAATAAAATTTCAGGGTTAAAGGAAACTGACAAAATCACCAATGTAGTCTTCTGCACAATTCAAGAATTCTCTCCATGTCTACCTAAGGAATGGTCATGCAGCCTCTCCGAACATATCCAACAACAGACTCACTGCCTCAAGAGGGAACCTATTCCATGTTTGGCCAACTCAATTAAAACATTCTTGTCTTCTAGTTACTAACATATTATTTCTAGTTCTGTTTAAAGTGAGTAAGTCTAACTGATCCTAGTACTCTCTGTTTAATGTTTTACTTCATTTACTTCTACATGTCATTCCGTTTGACTTTAAAATAGCAACATTTCTTGAGGCGACTGGATGGCTTTTTTACGTAATAAAAAAGGCTACTGTAATAAAAAAATGGCTCAGGGGCGCCTGGGTGGCGCAGTCGGTTAAGCGTCCGACTTCAACCAGGTCACGATCTCACGGTCCGTGAGTTCGAGCCCCGCGTCAGGCTCTGGGCTGATGGCTAGGAGCCTGGAGCCTGTTTCCGATTCTGTGTCTCCCTCTCTCTCTGC